GTCTGCGCTGGCGTTCCTCTGGAGATAGCTTAGGTCGCGCCAGGCCTAGCTGCATGGGTTCAGGAGTATCCTCCGGTGGTGGGTTCAGGAACTGTGGCCTAGTGGATTGGCTGTGACCCTGGAAAAAGACCCCCAGGTACCTCCTCGACCCTGACCGGACCTCTCAAACCTGCGTTCCCGCAGTCTTCGGTCAATCTTGATGGTTAGTGCAATTAAGTCTTCAAGCGCCTCAGGCATTTCTACCCGGGCGAGCTCGTCTTTCAGGGCCTCTGACAGGCCCATACGGAACTGGTGCACAAGGGCAAACTCGTTCCAGCGTGTGTCCCCCATCCAACGCCTAAAGTCAGAGGCGTACTCCTCCGCCGCCCGTCGGCCCTGCTGGAGTGTGTAAATGGTTGCTTCGGCCGAAGCTGCCCGCTGTGGGTCATCATATAAGATGGCCATTGCGTCAAAAAAAACATTAACTGAGCCTAGGTGGGGGTCATTGTTCCCTCTCAGTCGGTGGGCCCAGTCTTGGGGTTCACCCTGCAGGAGGGAGATGACAAACCCCACCTTTACTGATTCCGTCAAAAAGGTACGAGGTTGCAACTCAAAATAGAGAAGGCAGGATTCACGGAACGACCTGAAGCGTGTGCGGTCCCCGTGAAAACGCTCCAGTAGGGGTACCCGGGGTTCGGCCATAGGAAGTGATGCGGGGGCCCCTGAAGCAGGCCCAGGGGCCGCTACGGGCGGAGGTGCAGGGGTCGGGGCCTGTGGTGCAGGGGCAGATATCGTGCAGGCCTGGAACCGATTTTCAATCTGTAAACACCTGTCCTGTAATACGTTTACAGCTTGCGTCAAGGTGCCAGGTGCCTACAAACTTCCTCCAGCGGGGAGGGGTCCTCCTCGAGGCTCCGTCATGGCCTTCTGGTACTGTAAGGGACCACCCGGCGGTACCACTAGCACTCCACTAAATAGGCGTTTCCAGAGCACGGAGTCTAAGTCCCAGGGTGCTTGTTCACCAGGGCCCCTGATGGTGGGGGGGATGGACTTGGAGCCCCCCGAGACCAGGTCGTGACTACTGGGCAAACCCGTTAGTGGTAGTGGTATTCGCCGAGGGCTCCTGCGGGGAAGAGCCTGATATGAGGAGGTCAGGAGACCCCACTGGGAGGGATGGACGGATGGATGGATGGATGGCTGAGCAGGTGCGGGGTCAGACAAGCCGGGTCGGTAACAGGGAGGACGGTACGGTACAAGGCAGCGGGCAGAGAATAGTCGGGTCACACGCCAGGTCAGCAACAGCAGGTCAGATCCAATAGGGGGCATTCAAGAGAGAGGTCAGGCAAAGCAAGGGTCAGGGCAGGAGAAATACAGCAAGGTCAAAGCACAATCCGGGTCAGCAACTTACAATTCACAGGTTCGCAGATACAGGATACAGGTAAGACCAGAAGGCACTGAATGACAGCTCAGGGCCATTTAAATATCCCGCCCTGCGCTGCCATTGGTGCCCAGCGGGCGGCCGCGGCTTCTACTGCGCATGCACGAACTCGAACGCCGCGGCCGGCCCGGACCTAATGCTCGAGTCCCTGCACAGGGCGGCACACTGCGCCTGCGCCGGGACCATCGCGGCGGGGACCGAGGGATCCCTGACAACAACAGATATTAAGGATGTATATTTATGTGGTTCCTGCCATGTGGGCGAACAGCACTTTTTTAGTTTATGACTTTTCCCTTTGACCTGTCCAGGGGTTCTGGGGTCTTAACCATTTCCCTTCTCCTAATCCTTGCGCTGTTTTTCTCTCAGGAAATCCACATTTTTGGATATCTGGGCAACCTTCTTTTGAAGGATCACTCCACTCTTGCCCTAGTGGCCAATGTGCAACAAATGATACAGACACTTAAGAGTTTTTGGTGGATCTTCAACCTACAGAAGTCTGTGTTTGATTCAACCCACTGCATGGAGTATTGTAGCCTAGTCTTGGTAATGGCCCAAGTTGGATGTTTGTTCCCCTGAAGGAGTGTTTATCTTCCGAGCTCATGTTCAGACCCTGTGCTTAAAAAAAAGCTTCATGCAGTCTGATTTTGCATAAGGAGTCTGGAACTCATAGTGGCCTCATTTGAGGCTCTTCTAATGCCTCCCTTTGTGCCAATTCAGGACATTCCCTTGGCTGACCTTGCTCAAAAGGTAAATTTTCTTGTGGCTGTCCTGTAAAGATCTCTTCATTCTTCTTCATAAAGACAGGGAGTTTTTGAGGTCTCGGGTCTTCTTTTTCCTTAAGATGGTATCTACCTTCCACCTGAATCAGAACATAATCCTGCCTCCTCCTTTTGCAGGTGACGAGGAAGGTGGGGCCTCACATGCTGCTCACAGCCACCAATACAAGCCACCAATGGCTTTTCCTTAATTGTACCACTTTTGCGTTGGGGAAGAGCGTTGTACATGCATTTTTGAGAAAACAGCAGTTCAAAAGCCATTGCTGTTTATCAAGACACAGCCATGTACAGCCAATTTTTTTCATATTGACAGTTACACATGCTGCTCCTCCAGGGATTTTCCGTCTCAGCACACAGGAGCTGCTAAGTGTCTGCGTGCATGAGGCCTTCAAGGCTTAAGCCTTGAAGAATAGGAATTATCCTGTTCCTGTGAGGGCTGATTTGACTGTGTCAGTCTGCTCCTCAAGGCGAGCTTTTCAGAACAAGGCATCTTCACACAGGGGATCATGAAGCTAGAGTGGGCTAAAAATAGGTAGGTAATGCACATTTTTTACACAGACAGCATAGGTAGCAGGAGAGGGGAGGGGACATTTTTAAACATAGTGTTAGGCAGGAATTCCACTTTAAAGGAACCCATGTCCTGTACTGTAGCCAAATAAAATGATTTTATTGGTAAGTCAAAAATCCTTATTTTTGCTTGCACATGATTGGATGATGGAAGTCAGCAGAACTTCACCTCAGTCACAAAGCTAAGGAAATATTCCCTTGAAAAGTGCCTTTAGTAAATTAACCCCAACGCTTCCAATTCACCCTTGGTATTTGGAAAGAAAAGAGCATAGAGTGGTTTTAACACTTTTTTTTAAAAAAATATATTAAAATAACAAATATGTTATACTTACATGGTCTGTGCAATGGTATTGCACAGAGCAGCCCCAATCCTCTTCTTCTTGGCATCCCTGTCGGTGATCATGTCTCCTCCTCTTCTCTGCATGCCACAATAGGAAGCCAATTCCTATGAAGATGCACCTGTGGGCTTACTCCCACTTCCTGCTCTTGGCTCACAGCATTTCACTGACAGCAGCGGGACAATGCTCCTGCTACTGTCGAGCTTATTTATTTATTTATTTATTTATTTATCGAGTTTATATAGCCCAAAGGGTTTGCTCAGCGCTGTACAATAGAGGGGGGACAATACATGAAACAGTACAGTAACATCAAACACAGCACACAAGGGGTAAGCCCTACTCTTTCGAGCTTACAATCTAGGAGTAGAGGAGAGAGAGAAACAGCGCTATCGCAGATGGGCAGAGAGCTGGACCGTTACAGGTAAACACTTAGGGAGGGGGGCAGGGGAGACCAACTAGTGCAAAAGTTTTTACCTTAATGGAAGTAATGCATTAGGGTAAAAAAACTTTTTGTCTTTAGAATCACTTTAAAATATAACTAAAGGCAAAACCTTTTTTGTTTTGGAAAAAGTGGAGAGGGATTAGAACACCTGCCAGGTTTGTATTGCTGTCTGTTCCTCTGTTAGGGAGTTTTAACCTCTCTATTAGTCCTGTATACCATTATCACCAAAAGGTAAAGTAAAACAAACTCCCAAATTTTGGGGCTGCCCCCAGAACAGGAATCACAGGAATGCCCAGTGGGGACACCAGTTCTAATGACTCTGGTGACAATCAGGGGTTTCCTTACTTTAGAGGCATTTCCTCTTACTTCCTGTTTTGGCTAGGGGACAGGAAGTGAAGGGATATCTCCCCAATGGGGCACAGATGACAAACATAAATGTTACATGGGTTATTACGCTCACTGTATCCAAAATCAAAGAAAAAATGTTTTGCCTTTTGCTCTACTACAGTAAATTGAGCAGACTGAAGTAATAATGGATATTTCTTTCAGTAAAGCTGGGTTTAATCTGATTGGAGAAAATTAGACTCCGTACGAGTGGGTTAGGTTTATGCTGGCTTGATATAAGAAATGATAGTTTGTAATTGGACTGCAGTTAGCATTATAATCTAATAGACTAGCTTGCTTTAGGGAAAAATATTGACAGACAGCCACTCATTTACCCACTGCTTAACTAGTTTCCAGAATTGTTAGACCCACTTTTACAAACTGAAGGGAAAAGGAAGAACAAAATGTTTACTAGAAATACCTAGAAATACAATATATGTTGGCACAAGATTATTGTTAATAATTTTGTGGTGCTTCCTTAAGGAAGTGCTCCATACAACAGCACAGATCATATGCACATAGCTAAGGCTGGTTTTTACCCTTACTTTCAGTGTAGTAGATTTCATTAACTTATTTTACTTGGAAAACCCCAAATGGAATAGAATGGTAGAGCTGGTAAAAAATGTGAGCTTAGAATAAATATTGTAAATATATTCTTATGCATTTCTGTCTGCCTAGAAAGCTTGTGACCATTTATTATTCTTCACCAAGACATACAATGCAAAAGTTCTGGATAACTTGGCATCTAAGAAGTTCATTGAGACACCTTTGTATATTGAAATGAGGCGATGGCCCATAACCACAAATAATTTGAATTTAATCATGCTGTATAGGAAAGAGCTAATTGGATTTAAATATGATCCTGCAGCCTGATCTTTCAAAAACAAACTGCATGTTTTCTTCACCCTGCTAAATATATTCTGTTAATGAGTTGTCAGGCCTGTGTTGGATGGAATATACACTCAGGCTCTGCAATGAATCTGTTTACTCTTGTTTTGGGCCCTGCCCGCAGGTAATTATTGATCCTTGGCTGATTAAAAGCAAATTTATATTCAGAAGTTATGTTTTGCCCGCAGGTACAACAATGAAGTGAAGCACATCAAGATATTAACGAGAGATGGCTTTTTTCGCATTGCAGAAAATAGGAAATTTAAAAGTTTAATGGTAAGCATTGATTCCGTTCCTTTACTTAAAAAATGTCACACTGATCTATTGTTTGTTAAACTCTTTCTGCCCAAGAGCATCTCTGGCAAACGTGAAGGCTTTCCTGCTTACTGAATGAAAATATCAGAGAATGATTTAGTTTTTCCACATCAGACCCTCTATATACACAGTGAGGGCCATTTATGATGGATGGGAACTTGGAAAAGTGCTGCTATCTAGTGTAAATGTGCTCTGGTAACAAAAGTATTCTTGGCTTTGGTGCCAACTAAGCTGAAACACACAGTGAACCAGTACATCTCCTCCACCAGTATATTTTTACCTCCTCTTTAATCACTTATCCCTCCATTCAGCTGCTGGGAGGCAAAATAACTTGACTTTTGTATACTCCAATTTTCAAGTTGCATCTCACTAAGGACTGAAGATTCTCTTGTGATAGTGAAAGGTCTGGGTCTCTGTTCAAGCAATCACTAAGTGTTAGCACTGTCAGATGGAGGGAAGGGGAGTAAGTCACATGCTCCCTCCTACTGAAGTACCAACTATTTTTCTTTGGTTTTGATAGCTGAACAGAGCATTTGGGGAACAATGGGAAGGTGCTGCTGATGGAGCCATTATTAAAGTGAATCTGCTGCTTTGCCCTGCGTGGGCAAAACGGGTTTACTTTAGGTTGCTCACAGGCATGAGATGATTGACACCTGACCTGGCTATTGAGAACTGGATAGGCATGTGATAGTAAAGCCAGCTGGATTGAAATTCGTCCGGTTCAGCAGAAACCAGAGGCATTTCAATCCATGTATGGGCAGGTTGATTGTAGTACCCAATTTGATCCATGGATCAGCTTGGGTATAAACAGCCAGTTGGATTCGTCTGCATGCAATTACTGCCAGCGGCTATAGCCGCTAGCAGTAATCATTGTGTTCTGCTGGATGGGAAGGCTCCCATGCCCCCCCCCCCCTGCCAGCAGAATACAATCGCGCCATGTGAGGATTCCCCCATGAACACTGACTGTGTTGATGGGGAAATCTTGTGATTTTTTTCCTTGCAGTGGAAGAAAAGAAAATTACATTGTCTATGGGCTGCTAAAGACCATAGGAAGCCTACAACTTCCACAAATACTTCCTATCTGATCAATCATGGGGGAGGAATTGGTTTGCCAGAATGTGTATGCCAGGCTGATTGCTATTGCTTTTCTGATGTCTGCTCAGTTCTTAAACATACACTTTCAGCTGATGTTAGTTTACATGTATATGTCAGGATTATCCTAAAATAAGTCATTTAGAATTCTAATGTTCTAGATAGCATCAACTTAAATGATTTTGATAGAAAAGCCCTGATTTTCAGTCTAAATAGTTAAGAATACTGCAAGTGGCTTTATCCAGGTCAGGATAAATGTGTAATGCCATTTGAGCACTAAGCATCATAGGGACAGGACTTGAATTAAGTTATTTTTTCAGTGTTCTTTATTTTCAACACATTTTCACCATTTGCCGCAAACATTCTTTCTTTAAATGATGGTATTGCTTTGTGTGATGTAATGTGTCTATTTTATTGCCTGTCAATTTGTTGTTTTTGCAGTATTATTTTTAAACTAAAATGAATCCACAAAGGAAAAAAGTGACTTTTAGAAGACATAACAATGAAAGAGATTTAATTTAACACATAAACTCTCCAAATTGTGCCTGTTTGTAATGGTGTTTTATGGAGTTTTACAACCCAAGAACATACCCATAAAAGCAAAACAATATATTTTTATAATTGGAATAGAGGAAATAAATTAGTTCACTTACAATTTAAATATATTACTTGTATATATTTATTTTATTTGTATTTGGAGTGCTAGAGGCTGGTTATTTCTCGGTTATTAATTCTTCATATCCATTTGGATAGCTGCCTACAGTAGCTTTTCTTATAGTCATATAAAAAATGGCTAAACTGCTGCAGAAAAACTTCAAGTGAATTTAAACAATTTTAAGAGATGTTTGCTCACTGGGATGTTAAACATTTTTGTTGGCTGATGCATGTGTGCTCTTTGATTCATACACTGTGAAATGTATGCATGTATATGTTATGTTTAACTGTTAAATGTTTTTCATATCCTGGGAATCCTAATTAAAAATGTTTGAAAAAATTACACCTCTAACAGCCTATTTAATTATTACTTTTCTGTTTATAAGTTAGGTTAGACATTTAAAGGGAACATTTGATTGGTTAGTTTGGACAATACCAACAACAAAAGATTAATATCTACCAACAAAAGTATTAACATTTAGAAATGTAGACGTTATCACCCAGAAGCAACACAGTATATGGCTGCTGTTCTGCTGCATTTAGCTGTTCTGCTGCATGTTGTATCACAACACATTAGACTTAATTACTACTTAAAGTGGTTCTTCAGTTCCTGTAGCTGCTGACTTTTAAGAAAAAGACACTCACCTGTTCAGGAATCCACGCTGTGCTCACCGAAGCAGATTTCTTTACCGCTCTTCTGTCCCCGGAGCTGGCATCTTAACTTTGGGCAACCAACTGTGACTCCTTGTGGTTTCACAGCCCACTGCACGAGCTGTGCTGCTCCTTGTGAATGGTTCCACAGTCTCTTGGGACCTGTGACGTGTCCTAAGAGGCTGCAGGTAGAGGAGGCGAACTTCCACTCCAATCGCCTAGGCCAGGGGTCTCCAAACTTTCCAAACAAAGGGCCATTTTACTGTCCTTCTGTCTTTTGGGGGGCTGGATTGTGGCCAGTGGGGGTAGAAAATGTCCTAGGCATCAATGAGCATAAGCAATGCCTCAGGCGTGGTGTTCATTTGCATAGTGCCTGTGGTCAGTAAGAGAAGCAATAGTGCCACATCATTGGTATCAGTGGGAGGATAAGTGCACCATCATTGGTGTCAGTGGGAGGAATAGTGCCCAATCATTGGTATCAGTGGGAGAAATAGTGCCCCTTCAATGGTATCAGTGGGAGGAATAGTGGTCCATCCTTGATATTAGTGGAAGGAATAGTGCCCTGTCATTGGTTTCAGTGGATGGAATAGTGCCTGATCATTGATATTAGTGGGGGTAAGCGTGCCCCATCATTGCTGTTAGTTGGGGGAATTATGCCCCACTTTTGGTTTCAGTGTTAAGAACAAAGTGGGAAGAATAATGCCCCAAGGGTTGGATAAAAGCTGGCAAAGGGCCACATCTGGCCCTCGGGCCGCAGTTTGGAGACCACTGGCCTAGGTGGTCAGAGGGGATGTGGGAGCATGTACCTGTCAAAACCAGGTACCTGCTCCCCCCCCCCCCAAAAAAAAATGATGTCAATAGTGACAGAGCAGGGGGATGAGGAGGGATAGCGGAACTTCACGTTTTGGGTGTAGTTTCACTTTAAATAGAGCTGACCCCGGGGCCTATAGTGTTACAGGGCCTGAGTGTTCCCCCATCGTCCTGTTAAAACTCCATTGTGAGGGTTTTATACAGAGAGATAGGAAATGACAATTACATGGTCCATATGTTTTTAACTAGATTGGGCAATAACCGTATGTCTTTGGGTGGATGCTACACTGCTGGTTGCCTACTACCTGGGGGCAGCAGTAGTCAGACCTCATTTTTAGTCTCAGCTGTCCACAGGCCTTTATATATGCAAACTGACTGATGACCAGGGCTTTGCTGTGGGCACTTGCTCCTTCGTGAAAAGGCTGAGAACTGGTAGAGCACTAAAAAGGTACATGTGCTGCCTGTTTGTTTTGGAGAACCCATTAGGAGGAACCCTATTACAAACTAACCTGAGTGGCTTAGACGAGCTGATTTTTTTTTTTTGCTTTACAAAGCCTTCCTGTATTATAAAACTATTTTTGCCTTGTTTAGTAACAGTGCAGGGTAACCTGGATTCCTGATGGACCTGTTTTATGCTTTTTTTTTAAACCAGTACCAGTTGAGCATTCCTCCCCTTGCAACATATGTAGCTGATGAACCACATTAATATAGTCCATTTAAATTCCTACACTAGAGGCAACATTTAAAATATTCATACATGTACAGTTTTTATTACAATTTAATGATATACTGTATTTGATACTCTTATTTAAATGTATACCAGTAAAATGACCTGAAACAGTTGTCAGAGAACAACTGCTCCAGGTTTTTGCAATGGTGGTCATTTAAAGGATTACATTATATATGTGATGACACTATATTTAACATTCAAATTCATATTTAAGTATTTCATACATTTGTAGCTAATTTAGAACATAAAGGACATAAAAGGAAATATCTTATGAAAATTGGTCAGGTTATCATATGCAGTGTGTGAATGCGTCCCCTCGGAATGATCCAAGATAAATACTTAAGGGTCCCCGCTCATGCTGTTAAGGTCAAGTGAGTTGGATGTCGGTGACTAGTGAGGGTGTAGGCTGAGGAAAGGTCCATCCAAACCCAAGCATGCTGCAGAAACAGAAAGACATAGCTTGACCACCACACACCTTGCCTGACCTGAGTGGTTAGCAGGTAAAAGCAGCCTCAGCTCGATTCATCCAGACCACGCCTCCCACAGAATGATGTTATTTGTGTTTCAGTATGCAACAATATACAGAGGGTAATCTGGTTATCTCAAAGTACTCTTTAACTGGCCCAAACATATCTAAAGTAGCAATGTTGCCAAAGTTATCTCATGGTGCAAGTTCTTGTGTTTATTTTCAATTCTCTGTATCACTGTAGAGCTTCCTTTTAACCTAGATAGAAGTAGTACATGGGGTCTAGAAGTCTAAAGGCTTTAAGCCCCACTCCTTTTCAGTTTATTTCAAATGCCAGAGTATATTCTGCCCACTGTAGTTCTGGCATTTGTCAGTTGAATTACAGGGAGCAGACCTTAACACCTGGAATAGAATTATAAGTTTCATGGATTCCCTAGGCCTAGAACCTAAGGGGCTCCTTAAAATACAGGGATCAATTTGAAGACTAGCACATGTAGTTGCACACACCACAGGAAACCATTTTACGTTAGACGACAATCATTTTAATGTAAAACATCAGCTTTCCAATGGATGGTAGAACTCGTTGAGCAGGACTACTTTCTCATGCAAAGAGACTTTAAAATTGTAACATCGACTAATTGTGCTAAATGTGTCACACTTTATTTTTAACCCAGAGTTTCTAGGAAGAAATTAAAGCAGAGCTCCAGACAAAGCTAAAAAAATAAAAGTCAACAGCTACAAAAATTGTAGCTATTAAAAAACAGCCTCTCTCCTGTCCCGTGATCCAGTGGTGTACTCACCGCAGCCGGTTTCACCTGCTGTCCTCACTCCCCAGCGCCACCATTTTAAGTGTGCTTGCGGTTTCACAGCTGGGTGCCCACTGCTCATGCGCGAGTAGTTCTGTGCCTTGTAAATGGTCTTGTGGTCTTCCTGGACCTGTCATGTGTTCCAGAAGACTAGGGGGAGGGGGAGGGACATCTTCCACTTCTGGTCGCCTAGTCAAACACAGCGGAAGTACCTGCTTCCCAAAGGTGCCAATTGCTCACGGGGAGCAGATGACCAGTACTTAAAGCGGACCTTTCCCTTTTGAGTGGAGCTCCGCTTTAAGGGTTTACTTATTGAACTGTATCTTTAGTGTAAATTGTCATTAAGCTTTATTAGTTATTAATATTTCTGTTTTTTGTTTTGTACAGGAACTTGTAGAGTATTATAAGCACCAGTCTCTTCGGGAGGGTTTTAGGAGTTTGGATACAACCCTACTGTTCCCTTACAAAGCTGTGGAAAATCAGGCTGGCCATGCAAGCAACAGATCGTCTGGGATGTGTAAGTATTCATCCATTGACAGCTCTGTCAGGCATGATTCTTCATTAAGTATCTTAGACTATTTTCATTTTTATACAGAAGCAATTGTTTTTTTCTTTCTGTAGAATTAAAAGTACCAGGTACAAATTATACTACTAGAAATAGTTCAGAGGTCTTCTGTAGACAAGGAGAGTCTTTTATATCACAAATGTGTTCAGATAATGAGCAATATTAACATGTCTGAGATGGATATACAGAATATTATCTATTTTTTGAATTCTCGCAGCACCTGGAAACTTATTTGTAATAGTAGTCCAATAGCCAGAGACAGCTATAGCTATTTGTTGTCATCTAAAGGTGTAAAAAAACCAGCCCAATTTGACAATTTTTGAACGTTTGCTAAGCAAGAATATTTTTATAATCTGTTACATTCAAACCTACATTATATACTGTAGATGGCCAAGTGTTTGTGGAGACCTGATAATCCCACCATCACTATGATGTGAATACTCCTGAGTTCAGGTTTATTGCTACAGATGTGCACTTCTGAATTTGTGGCCACAGTTTTGAGATAGATGATATTTTTTTCTTTTCCAGCATGACTGTGCCCCTGTGCCCATAAGACATAGTTTAATAATGTATTTAGTATGGATGAACTTGAATTCATCCCATTGAACACCTTAAGAATGAACTGAAACACAAATGTTCCTTTTGATAGAATTTATACCAATTCCCATAAACACACTCCAAAACCTTGTGGGAAGCCTTCCTAGGCTGATCTAGTTACAAAGGGAGGGGCTCAACTCCACATTATTGCCAGAATTGAGTAGAATTGGATGTCCAATATAGAAGAGGTGGCCAGGTATCTACAAAACCTTTGCCATAGAGTGTGTTTTCATACATATATACAGTATATTGCATATTAGGTCTCCTTGCCTTTCTTTAATTTGCAAAGTACAATTACCTATATCAACCAATAAACATCAATGAGGTTACAACGTTACAGATGTAATATTATAACACAGTCATAGTGCCTAAAAATACCTTTCTGCTGCTTTTCTCATAATTAATGACAACATTTTAACTCCTTTCTGCTTGATTATGCATGCATTTCTTAATGCAAACATCAAGAAAAACTGGACCGTAGAGTTAGGCAATGCATGATCTTTATCATGATTAATAACTGTGAAGCAGTGGAAGAGGACTGATGACATCAATCTCCCAAGATGCATTTGAAAGGCAGAAATATATGTAGTCTGATTGTGATCAAAATGGCTGGTAATTCATTTTTTACCATGTTTACCTTAAAATAGATGCAGATCCTAGCAGAATGACATTTTGGATGATTAAAGCACTGTGGGGGTTATTCACTAAAACTGGAGAGTGCAAAATCTAATGCAGCTCTGCATAGGAACCAATCAGCTTCCAGGTTCTATTGCCAAAGCTTAACTGAACAAACTGATGTTAGAAGCTGATTGGCTACCATGCACAGCTGCACCAGATTCTAAGTGCACCAGTTTTAGTAGATCTACCCCTGTGTATCATAAACAACTGCTATTTCTTTAATATATTTTATTATAGACAATTTGCATTTTCTTTTTGAAAAAGCACTTTAACTTTAACTTTGTATCATCCTTTGTTGTATCCCAGTGCTGCCGATCACCTGTAGCCTCTTTGCAGCCCTTTCCTGTGGACATGCATGTACTCCAGCAGTTCCTAAATAGCATTTCTCAGGGTGGTATTCTTGATGGTGACAACAGTGGACCATGCTTGCCTAATGTGTGTTGAAAGGTCCACTTGTAGTCTCCATCTAAAATCCATGTGACAGGGTGACAATGTGGAAGTACAATGGGAGACAGGAGCTTCATTCATGGAAGCTGGTACTATGAATTAAATAAGATTTCTGAATGGAGGGGGCAGATGATTAATAGCTCAGCTGCCTGTGTTCATAGAGCCTGTTTCATGCATATGAGCTGTAGTACGGCTTCTATGAATGGCAGAGCTGGGTGGAAAAGTTGGCATAGTCAGGCTGTCTTAACAAGAGCCACTGACAGCCCCTTACAGTAGTTGTATTGAGGTGGGGGGTGGGGAAGGTGACAGGTGGTGGTGGTGGGGGGGGGGGTGTGTGCATGGATGGAGGAGAATTCATACTAGTGGTTGAGAGGTGGGAAAACCCTGAGGTTGTGCCATGTTTTTACTGTCCCCCAGCCACTACTTCCTTTAGCTACAGACACAGCAGCAAGGGATATACACATGCTGTGGCAGGAATTTTACCCACTGTCACTTTCAGTGGAAGTAGTGCCCGTCGAGTGCAATCCATTCAAGTGAAGGGGGCTCCTCTGCTAGGGCCCCGCAACTGTGTGCAGTGCGGTTTGCAGGGGGTGAAAGGTACATCGCTATGCCTCCGCAATGCCTATCATATGCTCTCTGAAGAGTAATTTGGACAAGGATCACTCTTCAGAGATCAAAGCATGTGCGAACGAGCCCTAAAAGAAGAGGAATCAGCCCAAGGGATACAGTATATCCTACTGACTGTATGTCATGTTCCTTGTGCTGATGTTTCTGTTTTTAATTTTAGCTACACTTAGTCTTTAATCCTATGGTGATGATAGATGCCAGTACAAAATGGATGTGATTTAGAATTGGCTACAAATGTTACAGCCTAATAATACAATTTCCTTTACACACCCCCTCAATCACATAATACAAGATCTTACCTGACTGGTTATACATTAAATGTATACTTTATATATGTTAGGCGACATTGTATTTGAGCCATTGTTTCAGTGCATGCATGATATAATTTTGCTATACCCCGTAGCTGTTATTAATTAGGTCTAAAGCAGCTGCAAAGTCACAATTTATGAGTTCCAGTACAGCGATATTAGGAAAGCAACAAACAAAGCAACTTGACATTTCTCAAAATCCTTCTTTAATAAGCACAGATTGGATGAACATTTATACCCATATAATACATTTGTTATCAGTTTCACACAAAAGCATTCATAGACTTCCTGTGACTATGCTGTTTTTTTTCTTAACTGTCAAGAATAGCAGGGAGCCTGTGAGCGAACTATGCTTTGTGTGAGCTGAAGGAAGTATGGCTGTGCTACTTATTGTCACTGTGGGCCTATTTATAAAAGGTCAGGAATCCATTTCTGACAGTTTAACCTACTTATAAAGCTGCTCTGGGCAATCTATCCACTCATTCGGTCCCATATTTCAACACAGGTGATAATAATTCAACAAAATACATTTTTGTAAATGGATTGTGTCGGGTTATAAAAACTTTCCATCTGTCATTTGTGGATAATTTACTCCTGCCTAACCCGAGACGCGGTTATTTTGCCAATCTTTATAAATAGGCCCCTGTGGATCATAGTTGTGCTGCTTAGTGATGCTGTGTAGATCCGGTGCGGTTTAATTTTTAGTGACTCTGTAAAGCAGTTGTGACACTGGTCTTTGCTTGTCTGTCTTCTTTCAAAGCCACGTCTGTGCTGTGTGGGTTTGCTTTTGTTACTGCGCCTGAGTACAGCTTTGTGCCCCCCTCCACTTCTCCCTTCTGGTCAGGTAGCTATTGCACTGCTTCTTATTCCTCTTGCCTGTGCCTCACTGTCATGTCCAAGTTGCCAAATTTGACATTTATAAAAACATAGTGACTGCATGTTTTCTGCTGAGTTGTCAGCCTAAATCTATTTTGGCACTCTTCTAAATTTTAAAAGGTTCTGATGTCTTACCAACTCAGTGTGGGAAATCCAAAAGGTTGTCCAGTGCATCCCAAAGCCAGTGTATAGAGACTACTGTGGGATTGGGGGTGGGATGGTTAACCAATACAAGTGCAAGTAAATATACAAAAATAAAAAAATTATGTTTGCACTTTCTCATTCTTCCAAATTGGCCCACATTTTTGAGTCAGTAGGTTTATTTTATACACATGAAGTACTAGTTGTGACCAGTAGAGGGGAGAATTTACTTAACAAATTCCCAGCCAATAGTTAAAGAGACAATGTCACTTTGTCAATGCAGGAAAAAAGAGTTTTGGCTTTAGATATGCTTTAAAGTGTATCTATACCAATTTTTTGTTTTAGTTTTTGTATACAATAGGGAAAGGTTGGAACCCTCTTCAGGTTTTACTGCTATCAGGGGCTTCATTAGAAATGTCTGTTCTGCAATATACAACACACAAACAACAGTACAAATCTAATTTGTCCAATAAAAATATTGTGCTCACCAATAATTTGTGAAATAATGTGAAAAAAGGAACAGCTGCAGCACATAAAGTTAATCAACCTTCTGGATAAAATATGTTCACCAATGTGCCACGCCAAACCTATATGATTACTCATCAATATACAATTCAAATCCAAAGTAGTGCAATAATAATGAGCAAAAAAGATAAATAATATAAACAGATTAAAAATGTGTGCAATATTTAGCCCATATTGTCAAACATAAAACTCCCCTTTACCAAACGATCACAATTCCCTACGAGTACGGAATTCACTCAGGTTTCCTTTTATCATGCAGCGGTAAATGACCGCTGCTCAGTTCTCTGGCATTCTCAGAGGATCAGTTCTCCTCTGAATGCCTTTTTATGAAGCGATGTAGATCGTTTCTCCAAATGAAGAGAGAAGCGATCTACAAACACTTTGAACGCTAGAAAACAGATGCTGTTACTGTAATCTCGTGAGATTACAGTAAGATCAGTCAAACACCATTTACTAAGCAGTGGTAAATTACTGCTTCCTCTGGGCTGGAGAATCTGGAGGGAGAATTTTCACACAGATCGCCAGTGAAGGGCTGACATCACTCCTTCATACACTGGCCATATGTGTGCTGAGATGATCAGCGGAGAACATATTCTCCTCTGATCATCTCTGTTTCCTAAACCACTAATGATCTGAGATCAGCAACGATCCTTAGGATCATCGCTGATCTCTGTTTCATAAGAGGACACCTCAGTGTGATAAAACATGAGGCTCCTTCTACAAGAAGATGACAAAGACCTCAACATTTATTTGCTCCTCTCCAAGCAACACCAGAAGCAAAACAGATTTTTTTTTACCTTTTGACAATGACCCTTAAGTTATAAAAGTCTCACAGCATCTCTTCCCCTTTAGGAGCCAGGATCAGCTCAAAACACTGGTGCTGATGTGTCTTCAATAAAGGGTTCATTCAACAATAAATCACCAGGGCCATGAAAGGATACAAAAATGAAACAAATAGTGCTCTCTGTATATAACAATAGATGTCCTTTATTTATGCACTAAATCTCACTCACAAAGTATTAATATTCAGAGGCCAATAATGACCACTATTGCAGGGTGGGATGAATCCTGCAGTTCACTTTTCCCCAAAGTCCAGCTCTCGCTCGAATTGGACTGCAAACTCATAGGAGAAAGGAAGCCTCAGTCTAGTGTGCTTTGTATTGTTCTGCCCTAAGTGTTACATCAGTTTGACATTTTTTTCAAGGGAACTGGAGCACTGCTGAGTTATTCCTTATATAGCTAATGCTGGCCTGCCTACAGATCTCAAGCTGTCACAGATACTAGCATTGCCATAGCAGAGTGTAAACAATAACAAACGGCGCCCAGCAATGCCGCAAATTAAAGAGTAAATGCAAACCTTAGTGGTTAGACCAATCTGAAGGGCACATGTAAATATATAATTTCTTCTCTATCAACTGAAATGGAAAGTCAGCTACTGCCAATAATTCTACATTCGTTCTGAACTGATGCAGGAGCTTTTCATAAAAAATAGAAAAATCTATACTGTATAAAAATGGATTATGGATGGAAAAAGGTATATACATATTTATTATTTTGGAAATAAATCAATTAAATACTTATGTGTCGAATTCTTTCATTTACTGTCACAATTAATTCATAATGTTAACAATAACACCTTGTGAAATAAGTAAATATGTATGGATTCATGTAAAACATTGTGTATTAAATATATTTAAGTATTTTAACATCACAATAGCAGTATATATATATATATATATATATATATATTAATTCAAATTAATATAAAAATTGAGAGAAATTGGCAATAAAAATTATATTCCATTTGTTACTCTACAGCCACCCTGACTACTCTACTCCACAATCTCTATTCTTTACAAGTTGCTAAGGAAACAATTATTATCTACATCTCTGTTTGACACTTTAGGAGCAAAAGTACCTGCTTCATAAATCCATCATAACTCTTTTTTGGCTAAATGCCCTTTCCAATTGACATCCCCCCCCCAATATTTTGTAATCTTTTCTATACCCCAAAATTGCACAAGGGAGGGGTTCTTAGCATGGTGGGTGGCAAAATGTTTAGAAACTGAGTGTCCATCATAACCATAATTATATTACATAGATGCTCTCTAGTGCATACCGCCAATGGTCTCCAGGTGCAGACAATGTATTGTAGGATGCAGGGACACAGGATAAAATACACACCACTCTCCATATTGCTAGTTACAAAATCTGAGATATTGTATTTCCTCTTGGTAGTAAAAATTTCAATGTGGTTTCTACTGCACTGATTGTATTTGACTGTATTACATGCTCGACGTGTAAATGTTGCTCATTATTTCTTTTTTCTCGAATCTTTTTTTGTAAAAAAAATCTTGTTCATGGGTGCAATTTCTCCTAATACGTAGAAATTGTACAACCAAGACAGGTGACAGCAACTTATGAGGGGAATATAGCCATTTATATTGGTTTCCCTGAAATGCATTGTATAAATCCTGCCATCCTCCACAAACAGATTGAAATATAAAAATACATCACTAGTGAAGTGATAATTATATGTAAGCACAATGTTTTTATCATTGTTGAGACCATTCATAAAATCTATAAAAATGCATTCCCTACCTTTTCAAATGAACATCATGTCACCTATAAGCACTTATAAAACAAAAAAACTGAGGCGGCTTATTGGCCAAAATATTTTGTGTTTCCCATCTTGTTTCAAATCCCATAAAGGCGTTCACAACACTGGGAGCAAATTTAGACCTCATTGCAATGCCCGTAATGTACCTATAATATCTGTCACTGTACCAGAAATAATTGTATGGGAGGCAAAATTTCAAAGATTTCAAAATAAAGTCCTTTTGTTCATAATTTAACTCATTAGAGGAGTTTAGAATCCATTCAATGGTTGTTAAGGCTTCTATATGACCAGTGATCGTACAGTGCGATCCAACATCCACAGCAACTAAGAAACATTGAGGCTCAATTTCTATACCTTCTAATTATTTCAATAGAGGTTTAGTATCTTTAGGATAAGAATCTATTTGTTGAATAAAAGGTTGTAAAAAAAAAATCAATGTACTGACCCAACCTCACTGTTAATGTGTCTATACCATTTACAACAGGCCACTCGGGAGGGTTCATCCAAATGTTCAGAGGGGTTCGTCCAATTTCTAGGTATCTTTGGTAAATAATGTATATAGGCCATTGCACTCAGAAGGTATTAGAAATCCTTTTTCCATTATATTTAACACTCATTTGTTTTTGACCTTCTTTAATCAGCCTAATTAATTATTTTTTATATTCACTCAATGGATTCTTCCTCAAAATGTAATAGGTATTTGGATCTGACAATTACCTCTCCTTCTCCAATTTATAATCTGACTTGTTTAAGTCAACTATAGCGCTCCCTTTGTCCACTTTTCTAACTACAATTTCTTTGCGCTGTTCCAAAGTGTTGCTGCATTTTTTGTTTTTTAACTTTCAGTTTGCTCAAATCTTCTAAAACCATAGTCCTAAACACTTCTATGAATTTATTTCCACTCAATACAGGATTAAACACAGATTTGTTTTATGGAACTGGTAAGAACCACACCAATATCTGACTGTGTACCATTAGTGCTGTGTACTACTGGTTTTTTACAAATGGCATTCCTTTAAATTAAAATTTCTCACATATTCATGCTTACCTATGTAGGCATGAAATTTGTTGCACTTTTTCTTAGGGGCAAATATCAAGCCTTTATCTAATAATTTCAACACCTCACCATATAGCTGTGCAGTATTCAAATTGCAAATACTGTCATCATTTGTCCTTTCCCGTTTTGTGCTTCTGACTTGCTCCACATCCCTGTTTCCTCTTGTTTCAGGTGACCAAAAACTGTTTTTTTTCCTACTTTGTTAGTTTGATTTTCCCTTCTTGGTATTTTTCGCCACTAAAAAATTAGCCGACTGAGAATGCAGAGTGGCATCTTGTCTTTAATCATCTCTATTCAAAACTGCAAATCTATCATACAAATGTAATAATCCTTTCTCTCTTCAAATCTCCTCTAATTGTCTGAAAAGTCCCTTCTGTCTTGTGGTTTATGATACCCTACTCAACCCCTTTCTTTAAAGGGTAGTCTTGATTTCCACTGTTTTCTTATCTTCCCTTGAGAGCTGGGTATGTCTTAAGTTTCTGGTGGGTGTATAACGGTCTCTCTTTGGTTCATCTTCTTTGGCTTTTACCAGTGTTGTCTCAGTAGAGGCAGGGGCATTTGCTTATGCTATTTTAGTTTGCCATTTAAAAACGTTATTGCTTTTAAAATCCCCTAACTACTTTAA